AAGGGGAGACGGGGAGGTTCCAGTGTGGAAAAATAGCATATAAATTCTAATTAAACTCATCAGATCTATAGGGAAATCCAGAATAAAATCAGGGAGCCTCAAGGCAGGCAGAAAAGTTAAGGAAAGGGAAGACTGGGGAATGGAAGAGGATATTGGGGGATGTATTCAGAAAGGGCAAGTGGAAGGAGTCTGCCGGGTACACATGAATTAAATCAAGGTAGGCTGCCCGTTGTGGAAGACAGGTTTTCCATTTCTTGTAAACACTCGGGAGTAGACCTCCCGCAGTCACAGCTAGACCAGTCCCAACTCCTCTGGGTAATAGAAACTCATTTGCCAGGCAGAGACTTGGACATACTACCTGATCTTTGTCTGCTTAGCTTCCTTTGTTCCTTCAAAAGACCGCTGCAGCCAAGTGACATTGCCATTGTGAGTCTGATTATCACCCCCATGCTAAAATCCTCAGGTGCTTTGTGTTACTGTTAAGCTTAATCCTGTCTCAGTTCTAAAGACCTGCACAGCTGGGCCTCCCCATCCTCTTCAGCCTCTGCTCTCACCACAGGACTTTCCTGTTCTCCCTTTGCCAGCCTTTGACCTTCGCTGCGTGCTGCCACGCTCTGCCAGCCCTAGAGCCTTTTCACCTACCCTCTGCACATGCTCCTCTGTCTGCTGTGTAACTACTTGAGTCCTCCCTCACCCACTCTCAAACTTCTCCTTGATGGCACTTATCACAGTGAAAGTTTTGCATCTGTGTAATTGTTTGATGGTCTCCCCACTAACCTGAAGCTCTTAGAAGAGAGGTACCTTGTCAGCTTTTTTGTTCACCATTCCCACACACAGTTGGCCTAAAACATATCTGTTGTGAATGGATGAAGATTTGAATCACTCATCAGGGAACTGAATAGTGTAGTGGTGTGTTTGAATCCCATGTCCACACCTTCCAGGCTGTTTTCTTACCTGTGGTTACCTGCCTATTAAACATCCTTACATAAGAAAGAAGCTTCTTTTTTCATGTAAAAGATCAAGCTTGTAAGGAAAGCTGGGCGATACTGTCAAGGGCCCAAAAAGATTTCATCTTTTAGGCTGGGCATCCATGAGCCCAGCTTACAATCAGGGGCTCCATTAGTAAAGGAAGAGGGGCGAAGAGATACTGGGTCAGTTAGCTGTCTCTGCCACAAGGCCTTATAAAGGTAGGGGTAATATACATGAAGTATATACATATATATGTAAGACTGTCAGCACAGTGCCTGGCCCATAGCACTTAACCATGGTTGTTAGTGTTTCTTCATTCACTGAATGTGTAATAAATAACTTACCCCAGGAAGGAAGCCTTCCACCCCTTTTCTTTGGACCTTTTTCAGCTCTTCATTTCTTTGTCCCTTCGTTCTTGGGTCAAATTACTTGGTTAATATGTTTGCAAACAGTCTATCCGCATGTTGGGAGCACATCTCCGGTTTCCTTTTAATAGTCCAAGGGGTAATAGCCCTTATTCCACCCCACTGGGACTCTGCTCTCCTTAGCCTCTTCTTGATTCCTGTTTATATAGAGTCAACATCCCCTCGGCTAAGATAAGCTCTATTGATCAGGTAGCGCTGTGGATCTGTTTTCTTCTCCTGTGGCTGGTGCCACTCAGGCAAAAATCTGCCTTTATTCAAGGCTGTACCTGGATATGCAGAAGTTGGGGTGGGGTGGGGGGGGTTCAATGAAAATAAAGACAGTATTTGTTTAGCCTTGACAGTTTGTTTTCTTTATTTCCTGTGAAGGCAATTGACCGAGGCTTGGGCTTTGAACTTGTCTACAGCCCCGCTATCAAAGACTCCACAATGAGAAGGTACACAATTGCCAATGCCCTCAACTTGATACAGGTCTGCAAAGGAAAGGTATGGTTCCATACTTTTAGGTTGTTTTTCAAATCTAGCAGTTTAATTTTATTAATATACTGGGATTATCAAATTGGTCCCTTTTCCTGAAAGCAGAAGATTCTCCAGATACAGGAACAAATTCTCCCATTTTGATGAGCGCTGCAAGTTTTAAAGGAAAGAAAAATATCCCAGGGAAGAATAACATGAGGGTGGGGAAAGAGATGTTGAAAGCCTTTATCTTTCATTAAGGAATTTGCCATTTCCGCACTGTGAAAGAATAGTCTAGATAACAGTTGTTTGTCATCATTGAGTTGAATTAAGGTTATATGACTTTTTCAACTAGTTTTTAAAACTAATTTATCTTTTCTAAGATCTGTTGGGAAAGCTTGTTTTATATTTTATTGTAGGCTGCCTTTAGTTTGACATGAGGTCTGAATTTCATCCTTTCGCTTTAATTATTTTTCTTATCTTTAGGAGAAGTTGGTATTTATAAAGCCTTAAATCTTAAAATGTAATCACTAGTTATTTATAAGACTTCAAATTTTTTTCACACTTATCTAAGATTAACATTGATCACTTTCTGTTTTGTAGAATGTAATTATATCTAGTGCTGCAGAAAGGGTAAGTCTGGCATGAAGTACTTCGTTTTCTCTTTTCAAGTTATAAAACTTTAAGTTTCTAAGGGAGAAATTAAAATAGTAATGTAATGAACATTTATTGTATGTTTTCATTTTTAACTGAATTTGCTTGTTCTAATTGCTGAAGAGTAAAATTTACCCCCATTCCTTTGGGGCTTCAAGTTTTTTTATATAAATAGTTTTTCCTTTATATTGTTGTAAAATGCTTTTCAGGGATCTTTTATATTTTCAAAAGCTTCAGAAACTCATCAAAGTTAAAAGGACTTAAATTTATGCAGTTGACTTCCTTATTTTTAGATACTTAAGCATCCTATTTACTGCAAATGAAGTCATTGAAATGTTATGAATAACTTCTCTCGTCTATTTTTTGTTCACTTGATTTTAGCCTTTAGAAATAAGAGGCCCGTACGACGTGGCAAACTTGTATCCTTTCCCGAGTAAGAAGTCATTGAAATTTTCTTTTAGGAAATTAGGAATTTGATTATATATTATACTTTAACAAGACTTGTTTTTAACCTTTTACTGTAAGCTTACCAACTAATAGCTTCAAAAACAAATCATACCAGGTTGTAGAGAGCTTCATCCTTTTGTTTTCTGGGTTAAGGGAGAAATAGAGAAGGGGGAAAGAAGGCCTCTATAAGAGCTTAGAGTTAAATGAGTCTCTTCTCAAATGCGCGTTCCATTAGGGCTAAGAACTGTAGAATTAAATTGTCTCCTTCAGTGTGACCAGGCAAGCTGGCATTTTCAGTTATGTTTCTGTTAGTCTTGTGTCCTTGGCTGACTCTGGGTTGAAGTCTTTGACGACCCCACCAGAGGGCTGCTGTTCGGGCTGTCTGAAAGTGATGCCAAGGCTGCAGTGTCCACCAACTGCCGGGCAGTGCTTCTCCATGGAGGTGAGCAAGCTCTTCCAAGAAAAATGCGCAGTGGTTGTGTTCAGAGCCAGTCGTTTCTATCAAACAATTGAGCCATATTTCCTTTTGCTTTCCTGTCCTATAGAGTTCCTTTAGGGTCATCTTTTCTGAACCTGTTTAACCATCTCCATCCCCATCAATGCTTTCTCACCCTTTATTTCAGGCTTTATTTTTTGTAGTTTGTAGAATGAATATAGTTTGTGTGTTCTTTCAAGCTCTGCATGTGTGTCCCCGCCTGCTTTTGGATAGGCTTCTGATCTCCCTTTCTCCTCCATCCTCTACTGACGGACATACTTCCCCTGCTTGAAAAGCAATGTTTTAGAGAACTGAAAGGTGAAAAATATGTTAAGCCTTTTATGAGGAATACAGAAACCCCAAATACCTTTTTAAAAACCCAACCGACAAACTCAAATTATAACTTTTTACATTTATTACAATGTATGATTCTTTTCTTATTTTTTGTTTGCATGTTCAAATATGCACAGACTATACACTTTTTACTCACATTTTATTTACATTTGTCTCCTCCTCACCTTAATTCCACTACTTGAAGGCACTGAATTTCTTATACATCAGATAATAAAAATTAAACTAGAAGTGTTTGATATACCAAGGCTTTGGAGAATGAAAATGAGGTTTTATTAAAAGTAAAACATTTATACTTTTGATCTGCTGTTTTATCTTCATTCTCTTTGTAATTTTTAGCACTCCTGGTAGTGATCAGGAAGCAGTTCATTTGATATCATCTAGATGAATTTTAAACTTCAGAACTGGTTGCTGCCTATAGACTAGGTTTTTTAGCATATGAATAGTTAGGTTACTGAGGGGCTTGTGTGTTGTGTCTGCATTTTAATGATCTGATTTCATCTTGGGAGAACTGGTTACTGTATTAACCATGAATTGGGTGATTTTGCTTCTGTTTTCAACATTTTTAGTTTGAGATTGTTGTATTACATAGCCTAGACCCATCCCATAAGCTCTGGGAATGGCCAAATTAATTAGAATTTTATCAAGATTTTCTTGAAATTAGGGAACAGTTGGTTCACACTAGTATTTCTGCCATTATTTTTGTCTATTTTAAATGAATGTAAGGAATCATCAAGATTTTGGATAACAATTAGTGTTCTAAAACAGACTAAGACAAGAACGGGAAACTCATTTTAAAAATGCAATAGGGAAAAATACGAAATTCTCAACAACTCAGCTATTCAACAAAAGATATATATGCAGCTAGGCTTTTGTAGAAGCTAAACTAAAAGTAGCCTCATGGACTTTAGGTAGCATTCCCATTCACCCTGATGTGCCCAGAACAGTCCTAGTTTATACCTGCTGTTCCTGCAGAAGTAACAACACATCCAGAGGATAAATTATAAGTACCCTGGTTCCAGTTCACATTGGGATCAGTAAGAAATAGTAATGTGGTAGTTTCCTAGGATGGCTAATTCAACCTAAGATTACATGAGAATAAATCCAAGATCCTGAGGATTCAGAGTCTCATTGTTGCCCTCTGCACCAAGTCCCGGCTGGCATCTGTATCCTCCTGAGTGCCACATTTAAGAAGGACAGCAGTGCCCTGGAGCACTACCAGAGGACAGTTGATAGGTTCTTGGAGGGTCTGGAAACCTTATTTTGAGAGAAACTGTTGAAAGCAGTACAAGAAGAGATACCTGGAAAACAGAAGACTTGGGACCTGGTGGCTGAAGTTCCACATTGGAGGGCTTGCTACAGGGAATCACAGTTTGATGGGTCCTGTGGGGTTCTGGAAACCAGTGAATAGCAATTTTAAGGAGGTCGCGGGGAAGGGACAGAGGAAAGAGGTTCAGGGTCTAAAAGAGTTACTTTATCTAAAAATTTGTTTGGCAGTAAAAGACTGAAAAGTCCTATTTTTAGTCTGTCGGCTTAGATTAAGTAAATGTTCAGTGATTTATAAAAGGCATTTCTCAGATGGAACTAAAACAATTTTGAAACTAATGCATTTTGTTTTGTTACATAGTGTTGATTTTTGCAATTTAAAATTTGTATTTTTTATTCATTCTGCTGGTTTTTAGACTTCTGCTCATAATCATAGTGATATAAATAGGCATCCCTAAATGCTACAGTTTTCATTTGGTGAAATGGAAATCATTGGCAGTTTCTGTTTACTTTGAGGTTCTCTGATTATGTTGGCATTTTAATGACCTTGAGAGCCGTTTTGTTCCTTTTATAAATGAAAATGCTTTTAAATAACTGGTAAAGATTTAATAGGGTTGGTAAATTAATTCTGATAAATGAGAAGGTAATGTTTAACTCTTTAGAATTAACTTTTACTTTTATTACTTGAAGTAAGAAATAATTCTTAACTAAATTTATGTTCGTTAAGTGCTTTTGATTCTACTTCCTTTGTAGCTAAAGAATCTCTGTCTCTCTCCTTCTCCCTAGTCCTTCCCTATTTCCTAAGGGCTACATTTTAGTCTCTTTTCATGGCACTGTGGTCCTTCACAAGCTAACCCCCATCCTCATTCCCCCTAATTTTTTCACAACCGTCCTTGACACCAGCCATATTGTCCCCTAAACATACGAGGTTCTTCTTACCTCTCTCTCCATGCCTTTGCAAAAGAATACTTTCCTGTCCTTTTCCTTTTTCCCTGTTCTTACCGTCACCTCTTTTATGATGCCTTCCTCATTCATCCAAGCAGAGATACTTCTTGTGGTACCTCCATTCCTATTATATTTGCCCCTGATGTGCTATCTCAGTGTGTGGTTGGAAGGAGCACTATGTTAGGCATCTTAATACCTTCTATAGATGACATAGTGCCTGGCCTCTTAGTACATTTTTAGCAGAAGTTAGCTAAATATAAGATGAACTCTGCTGCCAACCTGACTTAAACATTTAATAATGCCCATTCTTTTTTGTCCATTGTCACCAATATGTAAGAGATCAATAAACATGTGAATTTGATATTTTTCATTCACCAAAGTATTTCTTCAACACCTGTTAAACACCCAGGTGTTGCTGGATGGTGGCCGTACAATATGACTGATTCTTCAGAGGTACACTGATATCTAGTGGGGGTCACAGATATGTTCCGTGAAATGAAGTGAGCACACACACCACGATGGGCGCAGTACAGTTGACTGTTGTACTTGCTGTCTGAGTTCATCCGTCTTTCTCCCACACTTAACGCATCTGCTGCACCAAGCTTTGTAACTTGGGTTCTGGTTATATGAGGTGCCGCAGACCATTAGAGATAACTCGCCCTATAGTTTTACCCTTGAGGTAATTCCTTTGGAGTGAATTAGGTGTTAGTAACATACTAATATTTGTATACACTGGCGGTGGGAGGTGGGGGAATAGCATCAGCACTGATAGCAGTTTATGGCTTTATCATTTAGAAACACTGTAATTCACAGTGAGATGCTTGTTAAACCACCTCCTTTTCAGTCATGTTTTAACTTCTGGCACTATGGTTTCCCTGTTTTATAGAAACTAGAAAAACTGCTTTTGGAATTATTTCCACGGTGAAGAAGCCTCGGTCATCAGAAGCAGATGATGATGCTCTTCCGGCCTGCAAGAAAGCCAAGTGTGAGGGCTGAAGGGAGCCTCCAGCCTCTGCCAACACTCTCTTCTTCCATTGGTTGGTTCATCAGCTGCAACAGAAACGAAACCTTCATATGATTCACTGTTTTCACTTGGAGCTACGTATCAGTAGTCTATAAGAACAGTCTTATATTCAAGTCGTGAAAATAGCAAAACCTAGTGAAGCATTTAAGAAACAAAAAAGACTGCCCCCTTAATGAATTTAGGTATATTTTAGAAAAAAAGCGAAGACTAGTTTATTTATCCTTTGTGTTACGGGTAAAGAGCAGGTATGATTGAGTAAGATGTTTTATGTATTTC